CTAAAGATAAAAGGTACCGCTACATAACATCACAAGGTGGAACAGAACATTTTGAGCTTTTGAGATGTTTGAGACTAGTAATAAAGTATTACTCAAACATATGTTAATGAAACTAAATACAACAAGATGTGTTTGCTGAGGTAACATTATAACATGGCTTAAAGCGCACTACGATTAATTTTGTATAATATAGGACCATTAAAGTCAGAAATGGCCATAAATGGAACTACTACCATCCTACCCTACCATACCTACTACTTTTGTGTTATTAAACTGATTGTAGATTTGATATATTTTCTTGTTTGTTTCTTCTTTTTTCTTGTAGATGAAGAATGGCCCAAAAGCAGCATGCGGCGAAGTGATTTCGCATGTTTCTGGTCAGTGTGGTTGTGGTCGAAGCAGGTATGAGTGTGCACACTTCACATGGCCCAGTGGAATGCTGTGCTTGGAACCAGTAGACTTTTTCCATTGGACAGAGATCTTGGACATCGATTTTATTGTAGTTTTTCACACATTACCTAATTCTTATACCCCACAGATAAGCAATGTTTCTGTTGTTTAAAAATATATATTGTAGGTGATTAAATTATCCCTCCTTTTTGCCTTTAAGTCTATTTTATGTATATATCTTTTCTGTAATGTGGATACAGTATAGTGTATGTATCCAATATGGGTCTGGGAAATATGACAAAAAATCTATTATATTTTCCTCATATTGATCAGTGTTTATTTTCAGAAACTGAATAAAACACAATAGACGTTTAGTATTGATTTCATTAACATTAAAAGACAGACTTTTAACACAAAAAATAAACAAATTCCTTCCTCCAAATTCTAAACTCTGCTCCAAACCACATGCTTTTACTGACAGAGGATTGGCTGTAGACCTCTCAATTAAAAAATCCCAAGCTTATCATTGACAATTAGATATGGATCTTGATCTCGATTCAGATTTGATTAACTGTCCAGCCCTAATGTTATGTGATACAATCCAAACTCCTTTCACTTCTTAAATTACCTTTTGTACAAATATCTATCTTTGAGCATCAAGTTGATGATAGCCATGCTGTTATCCCTTTCAGTTTGCCTAAAATGTTTCTCAATGTTGACTATACACAGAGCATGAGTTGCCTAATCCAAGCATTAGAAAGGAAAGTGATAACAGAAATTATGCAAAAAAAGAAAGCTTGTCTTTGAGAAATATAGAAAAGTCAAAAATATCAAAATCAAAGTTATATACTATAATTTTACTATACTTGTACTAATACTGCAGGGTACTTTGATTGCAGTATGTGGTCTCTGTACTCCTGTTTCCCCCACCAACCTAAAACATCCACAATAATCTTGGAACTCCACACCAAGATCCTGGCTCTAAACCTAAGAATGAGATCTGGTATTGTCTTAGTATTAGACCCTTTTTATAACTATTAAATATGTTTTTGCACCATGAAGAGGACCATGCTTGACCAAAAGAGCATCATTTTGACCTGAGATCTTATGTAATGTGAACTGGCTGTCCTCAGAGCTGGCCTCACAGTGTTTGTCTCATGCACGAGGAGCAGAATGTGAGGGGACACAGGGGGACACGAGGAAGCACGCATTTTGAATTGAGGATAAGCACTGACCAGGCACTTTGTGCAAAACAAACTGAGCATTATCACTGAAAATAACATAAACATTAACAGCAGATTGATGTTGATGTTGAAACTTATGACAAAAAAGAAGACCACAAGCAATACAAAAATATGCATTGTTTGAGGATGTTTGGACTGCACATAAATTCAATAACACATTCATATTGTCTGCAGTTTTGTATTCATTCTTCAAATAAATAATAAATATATTCAGTTGTCACATCTCTAAATGTTACCCATTCAAAGTTCCATGACTAAAGTGGATACAAAATTTTATAAAAGACTTTGTTGTCCTATTTCCATATCTAAACATCAGACATTTTTCATGATCTGATGGTATCCTACAGGATTCTCACATCAATTTGGTTTCTCCTACGGGCGGGGCAGACAGGTGCTGGTGCAGAAGAGTAAACTATTTAATTTTAGACACAAGACCCTATAAACTTGTGATAAATGTTCAACTCTATAGGGCCTTAGATGTATAGATTGCTGCCGTACAGTTTCCACTTTTGCAGCACATGTGAGTACAGCAAATGCCAGTTCAGGGCCTCAGAACCAACAAAAGCTGCTTCTCTTCTCTGGCCCTGTGTCGGGCCTCTACCACTGTAGCATCTAATGAACACATTGAATTATAGCACTATAAATACTCCACTGTCTGAAACATGTTCTCACGTGGAGTCACGTTTACCCTGTCTTTACATGGCTTCTGTATACTGCTGATCTCTGCCGACTGACTTTCATGTGTTTTGATGAAAACAATACCTGGATTATTTCAGAAATAATAAACACTTTTTAAAATTTTTGTGGTTCTGACGTGAGACAATGTATGTTGAAAATATGTTGCAAGCTGTTCCAGAGTAGAAAACCAATACTATTATTAATGATTACTATAAGACTACATGCAGACTTGGTTTAAATGATTTTGGGGGATTGTAGTGTGGTCACAGATTTGATTAAAGGTGACTGCCTGTCATAACTATCTGAGCTAGCCCTATTCTATAAGCGGCTCAAGCAGCTACTTAGCACCACTAGAGGGCCTCCAAGAGCACCATCATTTTATTGTAAATGTCACAGAAAGAGGAAAAAAGTCTAACTTTTGTCTTATTCTGTCCCCTGTCCAATGGTAACTTCTGGGATTCATATTTACTATAATGTATTGTATCTGTATCTATCTGTATCTTCAGTTTGTTTGATGTTAGTTATACAAACACAGTTTGCGGATGTGATTACTGTCATGTTTTGAGATGTACATCATCAATAGTTAAGGCTGAGTTGTGGAGGCAAGGGGCCCTAAGGCACCTTCATCTTAGAGCCCCCTTAAGGCTTGTGCTGGTACTGTCAGCTATCTTCCACCACATCATAGTGTAAAAACTGCTGCACCAGTGACACACTCCGCTCTCATGTCTCTGCAGAAAAGCCTTATATTTTGTGTAGTTTTTATGAGCTGCACTTAATAACATCCGAAAACTACTCCTTGTGGGAATTCCTTTCTCTGAAGGAGGATTTGTTTGGTGTGGGACAGCAGAGGAGTAATGAGCAGCTCCTGCAGCCTGTGTGTTGAATAATTGACTGTAAACACTCTGGGAATGTTAATTAAGCCTCCCACTCTACCAAAAAAACTGGAGAAAAACTGAAGAAGTGGTTCTGTGAGCCTGGGGTAACCTCAGGAAGTCCTGGGCCTTCAAAACAATGCCAACATCAAGACATGGTATCTCCACTGCATCAGTGGCATGAGTCAGCCTGAGGAACTATTCCAGCATAATACCATTTTCACATTATATCTTCAAGTTCTCAGGCAAGTAATGAAATTGAGATTATTGATTTTAAAGTAAAAAAGAGGAAGAAATTCATTTCTTCTGTTTCTAGTGACGGTTCTCCTGTGTGAGGTGAAGGCTCCTCTGTTTCTTGTAAGGTGCTCTAGAGTCAAGCTTTCAAAAATAATAATAAAAATTTAGTTGTTTGTTGTTAGTTGTTTTTAGTTCATGCTTCTGAAGCACATGATAAAAGTGAATTTGACATTGCTATATTATAGTTTTTAGAAACATTTCTTTTGCAATTATTTGAACACACGAAACAGCCTAAAGACTCAAAAACAACCTTTATATTTTCCCTCACACATCAAATTGCATGCACCAGTTTCAGACAATGGCAATAACCTGTTCAATTTCCTGCACTGAAAGCAACAAAAGCACCAGATCAGTTCAATATAAAAGAGCAAATCCCCTGGAGATGGCACGAGTTGTATTCTGAGAAGACATACACTACATGAAGCATTCCAAAACTCCTCTCTGATCCTAACATCAACAACTACTCTTTTTCAATTTAGGTGGCTGCTGTAATATAAAAATATAAAAGTAGAACAAACCAAAGGGGATTGAATATTTCCTGCAGGACAGCCTGGCATACAGTTACACAAAAAGTCTTCCAACCATGATCATATGAGCTGCATCAAGTGTGGACAT